TGTGTGTGTGTGTGTGTGTGTGTGTGTGTGTGTGTGTGAGTTATGTTATGTCCTCCTGCTGCAGAAACATAGACTGCACAAATGGCTTTCGGTTTTGCAGCCTTTCGATATAGATTTATATACAGATAACTGCATTTCTTTTCTGGTTGCAGTAGTATGATGCATTTAAATGCATCAATCCATTTATGGTCTTTATCAATATTTATCAGTTTTGTTAAAATATTATCGAGGAAAACATACAGTACTGTGCAGAAGTCTTGAGTCACCCCTCATTACTTAATGTTGCTAGGAAAATGGGAAATAGGTGCAGAGATTTGCTCAAACATATGTATTCATATGTTGCTCATATACATCCTCCTGAGAACCAGCCTATTCATTTATGTCCTCTTTGGGTTGTATCTTTTGACCTTATTGAGCTACCCTACCCCTAAGTCACCTAAAGGTTCAATGGGAAGGTTTGTTTTCCCTCTGTTCTCAGGAGTATATGCATATGTATGTTGCACATATATCTTTGCAAGTACATGATAACGTAAAGTCTATGAGGCAAAATTGAGTTTGTGCAATTCTAGAGAGCTTAAAGTTAATATTTAGTGTGACCACTTTCAAGCTTATGATTTCTTTCAGTAGTCTTCAGGAATAATTCTCCAGGCTTCTTGGAGGACATGCAAAGTTCTTCTTTGGATGTTGGCTACCTTTTATTCTTCTCTCTTCCAAGCTGACCTCACACTGCTTCAGTAATGTTGAGGTGTGGGCTCTGGGGAGGCCAGTCCATGACTGATAGCGTGCCATTGTGTGTTTTTCTGTCTGGGTATGGGTAAAAATTCAAATTTGGATTAATCACTCCACAAGACCTGTTATCACCGATATTCAGTCCATTCCTGAGTAATTTGTTGTACCTCAGCCTTGTGTAACCTTCTTAAGTATGGCTTCTTGACAGCCACCCGTCCACTGACGGCATTTCTGACGAGGCTTCAGTGAACAGTGGATGGATCAGCTTCATCTCTCAGGTCTTGGTTCAGATCTTTGATGGATTTTTTTTTTAAATTTCTTAACAATATGACTCTCTGGTACTGTTCATCAGCTTGAGATGTTTTTTTAGTCCTCCACTTCCTTTATCTTTCTTGAGGACACACTGCACACCATGCTGACATTAAGAATCAACCTGTTGGTACAAAAATACAATTTTATGCCTGTCAAACTATGTTATCTTTGCCATGTTTCATAGGTTTACCTGACAAATGGGAACGATTTTCTGTGCTGTTGTGTCAGGCTGCCAACAAAGTGCCTAAAGATACAATTTAAGATTAGTCTTTGCTAATCCCAAAAAGTTGAGTCTGTTAATCTGGACATGAGTTAGAAGTCTTTTGAATGGTTTGAATGGTTCATAAGTGTGTGTTAAGTAACAAAAAACATTCATGTGAAAGCTCCCAGATACAAGGACTGGACTGAAAACGAGTGTCAAAGCAGCCAATGTCCAAAGAAAAACTTCAAAGGACTTTCAGGAGAATTATTGAAGAAAACCATGTTAGCAGATTACAAGATAGTCTATCTCCTTAGAAGCAAAGCATAAAGAAACGAGGGCTGATTCAAGATTTTTTTTTCACAACACTGTAAATATAAAATCTAACTACATGTAGTGAAGATAGAGGTGAAAAATAACACAAATCCCATAACTTGTTAAAATGCATATCTGCATCTTTTATGCACGTCCGGATTGATGGAATAACCTCTGCATAACAATTGTCCCGAACATCCCTGAGCTGACAGATTCATCTGGAGTCATAGATTTATTGGAAAATAAATGCAACCTTTGAGTCACAGTTGAGGTGTCGCGAGAGCACGGTGGCACTTATCAGCATCGAAAACAAATCACTTGTTTTCCGCATAATTCTTCTCCATATTTCTGTAAAATGCCGTATGTCAAGTAGGTTGTTAACTAAGAGGGAAACAAACAAACAAGGCAGAGCTGATAAGAAAAATCTTTTTTGTCGGAATTACAATAGATAAAAAAATAAGTCCTAGTGAGAGATATGGTTAATGGGAACACGCGGCAGACTTCATATTAAATGATATTTCATTTCCTGGGGATTTAGACAACCCATCAATCATGCTTTGCAACGAGACACTAATATATGACCATTCCAGGATAAATCAGATTTTCAAATGTCCTGCATTGGTTACGTTTTGAAAAACACGAGTCGTATCTACTGATACAGACACTGATGCGCGCCTCGTCCCTGTTTTCGTTCTCCCTCAGGCCTGCTGAGATTGGAGGAACTGGTTCGCCGCTTTCTCATCTCCCGGGAGACCCTGTCAGTCAGGATGCTAGATGACAACCTGGACCCTACGCCGCTGCTGAAGGAGATCCGTGACGACAAAGTGGCCACGATCATCATTGACGCCAACGCTTCCGTCTCCTATCTCATCCTCAAGAAGGTGAGTTCGCAAACGTCAATACGTTCCCCAGAGCCACCTACACATTTTCAGGAGTCGAAGCTACTCTTGCATACAGTGCAAGCAGTATGTCTCAAGGGGGTTCGCGTATATCTCTCTTTTATGTACCCACATGAAGGGCATGCGGAGCTCACCATCTGTAAAATAATAAAACAACTCGCTCGGAGCTCCACAGGCTACACATTTGTTGTTGTTACTGAATTAACATCTATTTTTACCTTCTCTGCCCTCCAGAGCTGCATAGGGAACAATATTTATGCGTGTCTGCCAGCAACGATCACTTACATTCTTATGAAAGTATTTGACAAAAGAACATCTTTTGCTGGGATGTGGTGCAGATGTTACCCAAGCTTGTTCTGATTCATGGTACGGCTTGTAACGCCGATAGCCAGCACAGTGAGTCATGGCTTGAATGCGTATGGGATGTTTTTACTGGGTATATTTGAGCCGCTGCCCGCCCTCAGCGAAATGTCCTAGTGTTAGCCTGATGATGTAAAACTGTGATTAACGTATGCTCTCTCCACCCCCTCCCCACTTTTCTCCCTCACACCCTCTCCCCTTTTGTACCCCGACTGCTTCCTTTCCTCTCTGCCTGTCCAGTAGCTCTCCTCCTTTGCCCCCTCTTTGCCTTTATCAATCCGTCCATATCCTCCATTATTCTACCGTTTCCGCATTCTCCACTTGTTTGATCTTATTTCCTCTCCCTCTCTCTTTTTGTCTCGCAGGCGTCAGAGCTTGGGATGACATCAGCATTTTATAAGTACATCCTCACCACAATGGTAAGAGTACGCAAAATGTTCCCCTTCCCTTCTTCTGTCCTCTCTTCCTTCATTTTTCCTCCTTCCTCTCTCCTGCTTTTCCTCCTCTTTCTGTCCCTTTATGAGCCAGCAAAGGTGTTAACAGGAAGAAAGTACTCAATAGGTGGAAGTACAGAGGTGAGGGAAAAAAAGAGAGAGGCGAAGAAGAAAGAAGAGGGAGACATTTGAAAAACGAATTACTGTATGAAGATGTGGATGTGCAGAGGAGGATGGTGGGAGGAAAAGAGAAAATAAAGTGGGGGTCTGGGGTGGAGGTGATGACAGATGTGATGTGCCCTTTTTCTTCTGCCACCCGCCACCTTCCCGAAGCTTGCGGTGTTTTCATCCTTCTCCTTGATATGCTCCCCTCCTTTTCAAGCGTTTGAATAAATGTACCATTTTATGTTGCGCGTCTGATTTTTATTTTTTCACTTTCCTCTCTCTGCCCTCTGTGCGGGATGTGGTCCTGTGCTTTTAGATGTACTTGTATGCATATTACTTTGAAAAAGAAAAAGAAAACTCTGTTCCATTAACCTCTATTTTCCTTGTATCTCAGTCTCCGCCTTTCTTCTAGCTCTCCATCAGAGATTAGATGCTGTCACTCCCCGTAGCCTCTTTTTTTCTTTACCACCCTCTTCTATTGCACAGTATTTTTCTTCTGTGCTAAGATTTGATAGCCTGTCAACATCACCCTGTCACACACCTCAATTTTCTCTTTTTCCTGCAAACACCCTCCCCACTCCTCCTCCTCCTCTTCCTCTGTAGGACTTTCCCCTGCTGAGACTGGATGACATAGTCGATGAGCAGTCCAACATTGTCGGCTTCTCCATGTTTAACACCACCCATCCCTTCTATTTGGAGTTCATCAGGAGCCTCAATCTGTCTTGGAGGGAGGGCTGTGACCTAACGTACCCCGGCCCTGCGGTCAGTATCTCGAGCCCATGAGTACTCATGCGTGCACGCTATTAGAGCTAATTTTTAATGCTTTGTTTATATGCCACACAACATTAAGCTACTTTATTCCTCACACTGATTCATGGAGCACTTAAACGACTCCAGCTAGTCTTTTGCTTGTATTTAATGGGTATTGATGTATCCATCTTTGTTTCCTCCCCACTGGTTTACTCGAACCTCTACATCTTTTCCCTCCTCTTCTTATTTTCCTGCCTC